CAGGGTCTGGGGATTCCCTCCAGCTCTGGTCTCCCTTGAGGGATACACTGTCCCCTGTGAAGTACTCACCCTGGAGCTGGTTGTTTCTGTGTGGTGTAGGTCGTCAGTTGTTGTTGCAATCCGAGTTCAGTTGGGGTGGTTGCGGGCTGGGTTGGGCGGCCCCCGCTGGGTCGTTGCGATCGCGATTGGGCGGGTGGTCTGCCGACAGGTCCCTTTGTCGCGCTGCTGGTACCGGGCGGCTTGGCGGGATGGAGCCTCTCCGCTCCGGTGGAGAGTGAGGGGTGGGGGTGGGATCCTCATGGAGACTCCCAGCTGATAGGTTTCTCTGTTCCTGGTGATCGCTGTTTTGCGAACCGGTACCTGGTGATCTGCAGGCGGCCCCCTGTGACTCTGGGGCTCCGGCAGCCCCCGCCGGGCCGGCTGACCGGCGGCTTGGTGCACTGCCTCGCGGCCAGTAAAGGTTGGGGGAGGGGTCTTCGCTCTTCTCTGTTCTAAAATTCTTCTTTTCCTCTCTTTCTTTTTTTGTTATTTTCCACCTCTGGTTTTTCTCTGAGTGTTCGTCTTTTTGTTGTTGTCGGTCTCTTGAGGAGATTGAGCGTTGGAACTCGAACTCTCTTTTTGGTTGGAGAGAGCTGTGGCATTTCCCTACAGCCCCGTCGCCATCTTGGTCCCCCTCTCTACACTATATTTTTATACTACCATCTAGAGTTCACAATATTTTACTGGGTATATACTTGTTTTCCTTAGTTACTAGTTGGCCAATGATATACTTGTTAAATTGATTCCCCAAGTTATACAAGTCCAGAAGTATAAAATATTGGAATCTTATGTAATTATTTTGGTAATTCTAAATCTGTATTTCTCTTCTTGCTATAATAGGGGATTGAACTCAAGGCTACATGATTTCTCTTTCTGGTTAACTGGATATAGAACCTCATGGACTTCTGCCCAAAATGTGATTTTCCATGTCTCAGCTTCCTAAGTTGGTCCAGTTACATGGATGAGCCACTGGCATCTTGGTAAATCAGCAGATTTACCAGGTATGGAAAAGAGGCATGGAAGGTATGACTGGGAAAATATAAGGGCTTCACTCAAGATTATGGAAATGCTCATTTACTCTTTGAGATGTCTTTCTTTTTCCTTTGCTGGCCCTTGGGCCTTGAATTCAGGGCCTGGACACAGCTTGTTTGCTCAAGGCTAGCACTCTACCACTTGAGGCCACAGCTCTACTTCTTACTTTTGTTCTTTTGGACAGTCAATTGGAGATAAAAGCCTCATGGACATTCCTGCATGGGCTAGTTTTGAATGATGATTCTCAGATCTCAGCTTTCTGAGTAGCTAGGCTTGCAGGTGTGAATCACCAGTGCCCTGCTCTTAAGGTATTTTATGATGTTTAAGGCTAATGCTTGCCAGCCACAATTATCCTTCCTGCCTTTCAGAAGAAAGTACAGGGTGATAATTCCCCAGTGCCTACAAGTAGCACATCACTCCTTTTAGTTTCTGTATTCAGCACAAAAGACATTTCATAAGAAACCAGTCTTCTACTGAAGGCTCCACCTTTACCAAATTAATTTAGACCTAAATATTTGATTATATGATTTCCTTCTCGGTGTTTTTAGTGGCAATACTAATATTTGATTTGATTCTGCTATCTATTGAAAAGTCATGAGAAAATGATGTATTTCCAAAGTGGTCTTAGTGATTGTTTTCAACATTGAAGCAAAAGTATGCGTGATGCTCTATAGTTCTTTTGGCTTATGAAAGCCTCTTTTCTATTTTTAAAAAAGCAAACATGCCAAGATAAATAATAAAACAAGTATGCCCAAACAAATATGGCTCTGTGTGTGTGTGTGTGTGTGTGTGTGTGTGTGTGTCTGTCTGTCTGTCTGTGTCAGTCATGGAGCTTGAACTCTAGGCCTGAGCACTGTCCCTCAGCTCTTCAGATCAAGGCTAGTGCTTTACCACTTGATCTACAGTTCCATTCTGTTCTTCAGGGGGTTTATTGGAGATAAGAGATTCACAGTCTTTCCTCCCTGGGCTGGCTTTGAACTGAGATCCTGAGATCTCAGTCTCCTGAATAGCTAGGATGACAGGCCAGGTACAAATATGGCTTTGAAAATTCTATTTAGTAAGTGAGATGCCAATAGCATTCAATGTCTTAGTACTGTGAAATGACTTGTCTGGTCATGTGTCTTTTAAGGTAATTGACTTAATAGGGAAAGTTTCTAGGAATCTCATGCAATTTGAAACTCAATGATTAATGAATAAAGTTATACAAGTAGAGAATGCTTAGAAAAATGATTTTCCTTGCCAGGGACAGGAAGCAGTTATTCAGGCCTCCCCAATTAATTTTAGGATGGTTCAAACTCAGAAAAGCAGTTTGGTACAAAAGAACATGGCAAGAATGGGTTAGAATTCTCAGTTATAGATATAACTTGTCCCAATTTCTATCTCTTAGTCCTTAAGTTTTCATATATGAAAACAAATTAATAATGGCTCAGGTAGACACCCACAAATACTATTTATAAATGAGACATTAGAAAATGAAAGCTAATGGACATTCTTTCAGAAAATGTAAAAGCTTAATGTCAAGCTTACCTTTACCTTTATCAAGGGTACTGCCAGGGGCAGTCCATGAAAGGTGAACAGGACCTCCTTTAACTTAAGCCTCTAAGACTGATTTTACTGGGCGGGAACAAGGGAGTATTGTCACCAGCAGGAGGAGCTCCTGATACAGTGAATGACCCTCCTGAAGTTGGTCTGCTGAAATCTTCCAGTTGAGCTTCTGCCAAGTCTTCTTTTTTTTTTCTTTTTTTAAAAATTTTTATTTATTTGTTTTTATTGTGAACATACTGTACAGAGGGGTTACAATTACATGGGCAGGATAATGAGTACATTTCTTATCAAGCATTGTAGCCTCCTCCTTTGT